GCCTAAGATATCGATGTTGATGCGTTCCATTTCATTTTTGACAACTTCCAATTTTCCCAGAGTCATACTTCATACATTCCATGTTCCGATTTTCAATGGATGTTTACAGCTGTTTCTCTTCAGTTTGATTTGTGGCCCATTAGCAAATGAAGGTTCTGTGAGCATTTCTCCCCCGAGCTTAACTTTATTCACGTCATCGTGGTCATCTTGGTCAACTCTACTTTGAGGAGGCATTTTTTCCCCAGTCGCATTCTGAGTGCCTTCCCACCTTCCGGTCCTGTATCTGACAGTGTTTCTCTGCTATTTATAGAGTTTTCAGTGACTAGCGATTCGGAAGTAGTTTGTCACTCTTTCTTCTTAGTCTGTCTTTGTTTGAAAGCTCATCTGAAACCTGTCCACCATGGGTGACCCTGCTGGTTACTTAAAATACCAGTGGCATAGCCCTCAGAATCACAGCAATTCAAATCACCACAACACAACAGACAGACGAGTGGCAGTTGCATGGTTGCTGTTAAATAGGAATCTCCTTGTGCTAGGGCCCTTAAGTCTGGCTCAAAGGCAGGATTTCTGTCCTCAAATGTCAATCAAGGCGGAAGTGCAGCAGGGGCAACTGCGTTGTAGTGAGAAGCTTTGGGCTCTGCTTGTAGGTCTCTAAGTTGGTCGACCCCTGCCTCAAAGCCATGATCCAATGGTTAGGCTAGGACAGCGCTCTTGCGTCTGGGGTAAGTAGGACAGCCTGGCCGGACCCTGCAGTCTCTTCCTGCTAGGCAGCGTCTCCCCATCGACCTGGTCTCCAGACACCTCTCACCCCACCGCTCCGTGGTCTGGGTTTCATTTAACACCTCCACCAGGTCTGCACAGTTCTCGCACATCGTTTAGCCATTTGGACCTAGATGGTGCTTAAATATTTGTTGTGAATTATTCATAATAGAGACCTTCAATTTATATTGGCTGCATTTATCTACTTCACATTTCTAGTATTTAAATGATTTAGATATAATTGCTAGCATAATGAACACACTCAAATAATCTATCTCAATGTAATTTAATAAGCTATTCATTTTTGTTTTAGCAAATTTTACTAGCCTTTTTCTTTAATAACTAAATTTCAATATCATTATTCTGTAATACAGTTTTGCTGCCAGATCTTAAAATAGCTTTACTGATGAATACTAAAAGATATGGTGGAAAAGTATTATGAGGACCCTCAACAATCACGTCCATATATTTCTCTTTAAACAAAAAATTACTGTCATTATCAGAAGGTCATATAAAATGATATTAATACAAAGAAGAAGCATTTTCTTGGTGACTATCTAATTCATTGAGGCAAAACTGTCAGAAATTATTAATGCCGTTGCTGCTAAATGCTATCAAGTTGGTTCTAACTCATAGCAAACCTGTATAGAGTTTCAGGGATTTCTGGTGTGGCACTGTGGGTTAATGCACTAGACTGCAAAGTCGGTTTGAACTGCAAGGTCAGCGATTCTAGCTCACCAGCCACTCCTCAGAAACGCTATACAGGGCTGCTATGAATTGTAACCGACATGACAGCACTTAACAACAACAACATAGAGTTTTTGAGACTGTAAAACTTTAAGGAACAGAAACTGTTGTGGTAGGTGGGCTCGAACCATTGGCCTTGTGGTTTATTGTAATGTTAGCAGTTCAATGCTTACCCTATCAAAAAACCCATCTACTACTCACTTTGTAATTAAGTAGTAAAGTAAAGATCCCATAAAATGTCAATCAACTGGTATTGAAGCGTTGCGATACTGTTAAATTGTTTTTATCTTCCTCTTATCAGAGTAAACCTAAAGCAATTTCATTATTTCCAGCTATAATAATAAGCTTCAAGAAATAAATGGTTTTTTTCCACCTAGTGACAGCAGCAATGCTACAGGAAGTAGTAAGTAGAGGCTCCAAATTCGAAGATATTTGACTATCTGAGTCCAGGTAGAGTTCTGGTATGGCATGGCAGGATAATGCGCTGGACTGCAAAGTCAGTTTGAACCTCAAGGTTAGCAGTTCAAATCCATCATCTGCTCCTCAGAAACCCTATACAGGGTTGTTATGGGTAGGAATCGACTCAACCGCACTTAACAACAACTGAGTACAAGTAAGTGTCATTGATGTGGAGCTGTAGGATAGGCATTGGACTGATAAGTATAAGATTGGCAATTAAAACCCACCAGCCACTTTCAGAAACGCTATACAGGATCACTACGAGCTGGCATAGACTGATGGCACACAACAACAAACAACAGTTGTCATTTAAAGTCCATGATATGGTCTGTGAAATAGGACATTAGTATACGTTTGCATATATTTAATACACATTTATCAAAGTAACCCCTGTGCAAGTTGGCTCTGACTCTCCGTAAACACCCAGAGTCTCAGGGTTTACAGACTTGCACCGGAAATTGGCTATTTCTGGGTGGCCATGCTGTTTGAGTGCCACAGAGAACATGGTCTGAATTGGAAGCTTACACAGACTGCACAGAGGGATGATGACTGGAATCTCCCTGCAACATCAGCCAGAGGGTTGGCAAGGCAGGGTACATGCCAACAGCAATTGCAGGATCCACAGCAAGTACAGCTTGAGGAGGTAACCAAGCTGCAGAAGCCATAGCTGCCTGTGCAGTGCTGCTAAGTCAACACCCCATCTCCTGGTGCTCTTGCAAGCAAGTCACTCCTTTCCCCCCATGGAGGCATACACAGTAAGACTGGTGGAACATACATTATGCAATACCCATATCTGTACACTATTTATGGACAAAAATGATCAAAACAAAAGAATGAAAGTATACTGATGCCTACACTTCTGGAACCAGTAAAGAAACTGGTTCATCTTTCTAACATAACCTCCATTAGATTAATAGAAAGCACTACACTGACTGACTTCGTTTTCTTCTAAGCTCAATTTTTGGGTCATATTTTTGTTCAGGTTAGAGCAGAACATAAAATACCTATACTTTAAATTTGTCTTTAATAGTCTTGTCCCAAGAAGAAATGTAAAAGAAAGAAAGTTTGAATGTCATCAACATTCCTATGTTAAATTTAAAAGCAAAATTTACTGAATGTAAACAAGTTCACTGTGATTAATTTTCATTGTATTTACATTTGTATTTACAAATTACCTGTAAAAAAGTTCTTCTGTGCAAAGATGAAGTGGTAGGTGGCTTTATAAACCTCTAGTTCACATTGCCATGTCTGTGGCATATTCCATATTCGCGGATAGCTTGCATTGATGTGGAACTACAAACCAAGTATTAAATACAAGTTAGAGCTTTAAAATATGACTATGAGAATGGCACTGAAACTTAAGTCGCATACATTGTTGAGTAATTAAAACTTATTTTCCTACAGAGTTGAACTTTGAACTTTAGCTACACGTTTTAGTTTTTTTGTTTTTTTGCTTGTTTCATTATTGTAGAATTTATTTTGTAAAATGTACATATTATAAAAACATATATAACACAACTTTTGTCAATTCAATATTTTTCAAGTGACATTAATGATATTAATCAGGCTACAGTTTTGATCTGTTTTGGAAGAAGTACAGCCAGAGTGGTCCTTGGAGGCCAGGATGGCTAAGCTTCGTCTCTCATACTTTGGACATATTGTCCGGAGGAAACAATCATTGGAGAAGGATGTCATGCTGGGTAAGGTGGAGGGTCAGAGAAAAAGAGGAAGACCCCCAACGAGATGGATCAGCCAGGTGGCATCATTGATGGACTCAAGTGTGACAGCGGTAGTGAGGTTGGCCCAGGATAGGACATTGTTTCGTTCTGCTGTGCATGGGGTCGCTATGAGTCGGTTCCGACTCGATGACACCTGACAACAACAACAGCAACAGTTTTGAAAATGCACTCCAGCTAATTTAATTAAGTAAGACAGCTAACATCCCTAATTTTTCCTTAAGCCTCATCAGTTAAGTGAGAGGCTCAGGATAGGAAAGATGGGTTAAAACACACACTGCCTCACAAGATTCTGGTCACCAGTGCCTCCTGGAGTTCCCATTTGACAGCACAGCAGTGAAAGATGTGACATGTTGCTTTGTGGCGTGTCCCACCTGCTAAAGCTTGGCATTTCTGAAAAGGCAAAAGTTTCCTAACCAGGAATACCATGGTGCAGTCATGTTCAACAATACCTCAGGAATTCACTAAAATACTCAATATTGAAGTTTAATAAATACAATCATGAAGTGAGTATTTTCTTAATTTCACACACATACACACGTATCTTGGTGTGGCATTGTAGGATAAGCACTGGACCGTGAAGTACAAGGTTGATGGTTCAAACCCACCAGATGCTCCTCAGGAAAAACAAGAGGCTTTTTGCTCAGAAAAGATTAACAGCCTTGGCAACCCTACACAGGGTCATATAAGTCAGAACCAACTCTGTGGCACTTAACAACATACATATGTTTATATATATATTTATATAAGGAGCTCTGGTAGCGTAGTGGTTACGAATCGGGCTGTGAACCTCAGGGTCAGCAGTTCGAAACTACCAGCTGTTCCATGGGAGAAAGATGAGGCTTTCTGCTCCCTTAAAGATTTACAGCCTCGGAACCCCTGTACAGGGGTGCTATGAGTCGGAACCGACTCCACAGCACATAACAACATATATTTATATATGCTGTTGTTGTGAAGCACCATCAAGTTGATTCCGACTCATAGTGAGCTCGTACAGGGTTTCCAAGGAGTAGCTGGTGGGTTTGAACCCCCAATCTTACGGTTGACAATCCAGTGCTTATATAACAAGCACCACATCAAGAGTACATGTGTATTGTTCTGTCTCAGCCAGAGTAGATGCTGTATTCTTAAGTGTGGAGACCTAATTGTCACCAGAATAACAGCCCAAAGTGGAGATGGTTTGAATTATAAAGGGGGGCAAAAAAAAAGATTTCTGGCTAATTTTGAATGAGTTTTTTGTTTTTACTAAAGATGTTTTTCATGTAAGAAAATGTAGATTATAAAATTTTTTATTCTTTTTCTTCTTTAAAGATATTGGTAAACCAAAAAAAAGTACATATGTATGTATATGTGTGCGTGTTCCGACCCATAGTGACCCTGTATACCTGTAAGGTTTCTTTACAGGTAACTGGTAAGCTTGAACCGCTGACCTTATGACTCAAATTGACTTTGCAGTCTAGCACATTAACCCACAGCGCCACACCAGGACTCCATAAATACAGACATATATATATATATATATACACACACACACACACACATATACATATATATTGTTGTTTTGTTGTTAAGTGCCATATGGTCCAGTTCCAACTCATAGACCCCGCATAGGGTTTCCAAGGAGTGGCTGTTGAGTTTGAGCTCCTGACCTTGCAGTTCAAACCTATCTTATGGTTGAGTGCTTACCTATAGCACCACACCAGGACTAGATACATACATATCAAGATTTCCTTTGTGCAACCAAGATTTCCTTTCCATATGTATATATATATATAAAATGTTGAGATAAGATTAAGTACTTTATAATTTTATATGAAAGAATCACCTCTGAATATCATTCTACATAGTGATTTTTCTTATTATTTTTGTTGTCTCTGATAACAAATAATCTGTCTGATTAATAATTTACCAAACCACAATTTTAATTATGGGTATTTCCACATTGTTCCTTTTTCTGAAATGAACTAATCCAAGATAGCAATGCTTTTTCCTTTTATAGTCTTATTTATCAGATTATAAACACAATGAATTATGTTATTTAATCCCTGAGAAAAGAATCAAATAGGAATAGAAAGCATGGTAAAAAAACTATCCTATTTAAAATATAAAAGGGATTTAGTCCAGTCATATAAAAAAGTTTGAAAGTAATATTCTAACAACTTTTCACATTTTTTAGGGTGAAAAAATCATGTATTGTTGCCTTTTATTACCTTCTCCATATGAGAAACAGAGCAAAAGAGATGCCCAAGAAAGTTCAAAGCATTGAGTACCCACTCTTCTTAGCAAAGACAGGACCAAGAGCACATTGTTTCTGAACCATATGAATTACTTAATAACTGTGCAATTCATGTTGGAATACATTTATCATCAGTATGCTCTAGACTTACTGCTAACATTTCTGCTTCTAACAGGGTCCGATACTGCATGCTAGTAGTGGCATCAACATGTAAGAGTTGCCCTTTAATTGCTGGAGTGTAACCTGATAAATGAAAATATAAAAATTCAGAACCTAAAAAAAATATACAATTAAAAATATTTGAAGCTGAACTAACTCTCACTACAACCCAAAGAAGGAATCATTGAAAAATGCTGGCCAGTCACTAATAATATACACTCCAATAACAAGGAACTTGTTATTCCATATCCAGGTAAAGTTGAACCATTTGTCCTAATTTTGCTTTCCAATGCCAAGCTACAAATCTTTTCTATATATGATACATTTCAACTAAGACAGCTCTCATGTAGTTTCTTTTTCCACTTACTCAAGGGTATGTACTTCCACCATTTTCAACTACTCCTTATGCACTAGCAGTTTCTAAAAACCTAGTCCTATTCTGAACAAAATGAAAAATCAGAACATTACATTTTCTCCTATGAACATTAATTTTATGGTTATAATTATTCTATTATTTCAACATGCATCCTGCTCTGAACATTTCTTACAAATGCCTACATCTCTGGCAAAACTTTTAAAAAATATTTGTTTGAAGTCTTATTTTGCTCATGCCAAAAACTTAAGTCCACTTTTCCCTGGGACTTTTCACCCAGTAATCTTAAAAACAACTTAGCCTTTATAGAACATGATTAAATATTCCTTTACCTTTAATGCATTCAGAACTCCACAAGTATCCTGTGGTACTTGGCACAAAGTTATATATAACTGGTGTGCCATTGAGATACTGATCCCCTTTGTCCTCTTAGGTAATTCTTTACTCCAATATGCCACATATATATGTAGAACATTAGATTTAAAAATGCGAGAGGATTTCATTAAGTGAGTTATTTTCTACTTTGTGCAACCAAGATTTCCTTTCTTTAAGCATATACTTATAATAAGCCTATTCTAAAAAGACGCTTCCTTCTAGTTGCTGTTGTTGTGAAGTGCCGTCAAGTCGGTTCCAACCCAGAGCAACCCCGTGTAGGGTTTCCAAGGAGTGACTTTCTAGTTGTTATTGTTGTTAAGTGCCGTCGAGTCGATTCCGACCCATAGTGACCCTGAACTTGGTTTCCAAGGCTGTAAATCTTTACAGGAGCAGAAAGCCTCATCGTTCTCCCACGGAGCAGTTGGTAGTTTCGAACTGCTGACCTTGCGGTTTACAGCCTGATTCGTAACCACTACGCTACCAGAGCTCCTTTGGCTTTCTAGCAGCCTAGTCTAAATTCAACAGTCCTAAAATTCTCAAGAATTTCCTTCAAGACTTGGTATATTTCTCTTAAAACTAACTAAAATGAGCTTTTGTTCATCTCTAACATAGCCCCAAAGTTAAGGACAAAAACATACTCTGTTATTCTTATTTTTTACTTGATCATTTAAGTAGGCAAGCCTACTGCTACCTCTCATGCAACTAATAAATCCAGTCAATCCATCTGCCTCTTTGTTCTTGTAAATAGCACCAAAATAACTGACAGAAAGAATGATTTTAAAAAATGACACATTATCTAAGTATACTAGCAACAGTATCATTGCACATTACCAATTTAAAAATATAGGTGAATTTCTGTTTTCTTTATTCTCAGAAAAGTGAAGTGAATAAGTAAAGCAGAATTCTACCTTAACTTCTTTCAATTCAAAATATAGTTAAGAGATAGGAGTAGAAGACAAAGTTAAAAAAAAAACTATATAACAATTCAATACAGTTAACAAAAAGTTTTTAACCATGTTACTGATTTCCTTGTATCATGCCCAAATTTCAAAAGAATAATCAATTTAGATGATCTCAATTTAAATAGAACTATAAAGAAAGCTAGGACTCCTGGTGTTGCACTAATGTACTGGACTGCAAAGTCAGTTTGAACCACAAGGTCGGCAGTTCAAGTTCACCAGGCGCTCCTTGGAAACCCTATACAGAGTCATCCATTAAGGGTTGGAACTGGCTTGATGGCACTTAACAACAACAATATAAAGAGGAACACTGGTAGCATAGTGGATTACAAACTTGGCTGCTAACCATAAGGTCAGTACTTTGATTCCACCGACTCGGTGGCACACAACTACCATAGGGCATTAATTAATATTTAAAATATGATATGCTCTACTTTTGAAGGAGCTCTGGTAGCGTAGTGGTTACGAGTCGGGCTGCGAACCTTAAGGTCAGCGGTTCGAAACTACCAGCTGCACCGCGGGAGAAAGATGAGGCTTTCTACTCCCGTAAAGATTACACCCTCGGAAACCCTATACAGGGTCACTATGGGTCGGAACCGACTCGATGGCACATAACAACAACAACATGCTCTACTTTATCTTAAAGCTCTTTTCAAAGTACCCAACAGACTTCCTGACAAAAATCTATTAACAATATAATCTAAAGTATGGCCTATTAGTCAAGTAATCAATTACTGCCCATGTACACGTGCCACATTAGTTCAAACACAGAGCACCTGCTTTCATGGAGCAACAGCCTAACAGGAAAAACACACATTAGGCAAATTATGCTCAATCCTACAAAATGAGGGATAAGGTATAATGATAGTATAGCATTATAAAACCTAGCTTGGTTAGAAATACTGTATCATGTCTCTTGGTTTTCAAATAGTTCAGTTATGCAATATTTATTCTTCATAACTAAAAGGTTATTAAAATATAAGAAAAATGGGAAAAAGTCCCATGTTAGTCCAAATGGATTAATAAACTGTACTAATACGTCAACTATTTTCCTGCCAATCATTTAAGACAAAAATCGTAATTGTGGCTTACCATTTTCCTCAACTGTCATTGGGATATTAATTTCTAAATATGAGCCAGCTCCTACGTTTACATGTACAGCATTTGTTTCCTACCAAAATAAAACATTAATTCATATAAATGATTCATTATCATTTATATTTTCAATCTTTACTTTCCAGTTATTATCACATAAGAAATAACTATCATGATATTCAATATATATTAAAAGCTCCTAAGAACAAAAGTTCAAATTTATAGCCAAAACACACTAAGACAATTTGGCAAAATAAAAACAAAATGAACCAAAATATCGTGTAAAGGTCTATTATAATAAATTTTTATATGTTATATGTAAAATTTTTTTAAAAACATGATGAAAACAATATATATATATATATATAACTATTATAGGGAGTGAATAAAGCAAATAGAAATGAATATAAAGCTAGAAATGAAGCTATATATACAAGTCACACAAAAAAACTCTGTAAAATAATGTTCATGCTATAAACACTAATTATTTTCTATAACACTGTTGCAATAATTACCCTATTTTTAGTAAACAGCAAGTCAATTGTAGCATCTGCAATAATATTCATTCGTAGTTCAAAAGCAAGGATCTGTCTTAATCTCCCAGGCTGTGCAATTTCAGAAACATTTAGAACTTGATAATCTGGTGGAAAGAAAAACTTCCACAAACAATCTCTATGTAAGGAGTAGAAGGGGGGAAAAAAACCATGTTATTCAAACAAAAGAACCCTTGGATAATTGTCCCAAATCAGTATTCTAACTTTATATTATCATTACTATCTCATCTAACAATTAGAACAGAAACATAAAAAAAGTTAGTCACAAAGCAGTATCACCTATTAAAACCTCTATCCTTTTAGAAAATGAAATGTATAAAGCATAAATGTGTTACACTTCCAGAGATCAATGAGCTTTGAAAACTTAGTAGCTGAGCTATAATTACATGACACACCACCAAAAATAACAAACTCACTCCCAGTGAGTTGATTCAGATTCATAGAGACCCTATAGGACAGAGTACACCAGCTCCTTAGGTTTTCGGAGACTATAAATCTTTACATGAGCAGACAGTCTCATCTTTCTCCCATGGAGCAGCTGGTGCATTTGAACCAGCTTGCTCCAGGCTCCTTAAATTAGATACATGAATGACTAAAATTATGCTAAGTATTCTGTGAGATATGGACGACATTCTACAAGTATATCAATTGTCAAAATGTCGAAGAATCAACTGAAGGACGATGGTTTAATTAGAATCATCACCCTACTCTGGACTATTCAGTTTTCTAAGAAAGCCTGCCACTACTTGTCTGTCAGTTTGTGGTAATGTGGTGGCTTGTGTGTAACTATGATGCAGGAAGGTATGCCCATAACCAGTATTTTAAATACCAGCAAGGTACAACCATGGTGGACAGGTTTCAGCTGAGCTTCCTGACTAAGACAGACTAGGAAGAAGAGGCACATCTTCTGAATGTTCTGTTGTTGCTAAGTGTCAATAAGTCAGTTTCAACTCATAGAGACCCTTTATAGGGTTTCCAAAGAGCAGCTGATGGGTTTGAACAGCTGACCTTGTAATTCAAAGTCCAGTGCTGATCCTTACAGAGACAAACCAGTAGTTCAGCCACCAAAAACCTAATAAAAAGTAGTGGAACAATGTGAGATAGCCAACAGAATACTGAATATTGAAACATGATAAATAGCACAAAAATATTGTCAGATGTCTTGCCAGTAGAAGAGTCCCTCAAGTTGGAAGGCTCTCAAAAGATGACTGGAAAAAAGCTGCCTCCTAAAAGTAGAGTTCACTATGATGACGTGAATAGAGTAAAGCTTTCAAGACATTCACTTCCTGATGAGACACAACTCAAAATGAGGAGAAAGAGCCATAAACTTCCATTAATAATTGGAACATGGACTATATGAAGTATGAATCTAGGAAAATTGGAAGTTGTCAAAAATAAAATGAAACACATAAATATCCATATCCTAGGCATTAGTGAGTTGAAATGAACTGGTTGTTGGCCATTCAGAATCAGACAGGCAGGAATGACAAACTGAATGACAAAATAACTATGGCAGGAATGACAAATTGAAGAGAAATGGCATTGCATACATCATCAAAAAGGCCACTTTGATATGTATATTGAAGTATAATGCTATCTGTGATAGTGTAACAGCCATACATCTAATTAATAGCACAATTATTTAAATTTGTGCACCAATCATTAATAAATACCTTTATTATTTGGTCATTTAAGCAGTTATTATAACTATTCCTCAAATTTATGACGAGTCACTAAAGTCAGTAATGATGAAATTATAGGATTCTACCAACTTCTTCAAGGAGCTCTGGTAGCGTAGTGGTTACGAGTCGGGCTGCTAACCTCAAGGTCATCTAGTTCGAAACTACCAGAGGTTCCACAGGAGAAAGATGAGGCTTACTGCTCCCATAAAGATTTACAGCCTCGGAAATCCTATACAGGGTCGGTATGAGTCAGAACCGACTCCATGGCACACCAACAACAACAACTTCTTCAGTCTGAAACTGATTATCATGCAAACAAGATGTATTGAGAATTACTGATGATTAGAATGCAAAAGTAGGAAACGAGGAAGAATCAATAGTTGGAGGACATGAGCTTTGTAATAGAAATGATGCTGGAAATCACATGGTAGAATTCTGCAAAATCAATGGCTTGTTCATGGCAAATATCTATTTTAAACAACATAAAAGACAACTATACACACAGACCTCACCAGATGGCATACAGAGAAATTAAATTCACTACATCTGTGGAAAGAAAGGGTAGAAAAGCTTCATATCATCAGTCGAAAAAAGGACAGGCGCAGACTGTGGAACAGACCATCAATTGGTCATATGCAGATGTCGCGGACCAGCCACGACACACTTATGGGGGGTTCCTTAGAAAGAGGTATGACATCGGCGAAGAAAGCACAAAATCAATGAGTCTCGATGAATGGTGAGTCTTCTTTCACGTTTACTTCAGATTCTCACACAGCTTTTATACTACCCTATACCATCAATCTATTAATCATTCTTTTCAAAGTAGGGGTCTAAATCATACATATTAATACATATTAATCATTTCAATATAGTGCATCAAGAATATCAAAATCTTCCTTGTTCCCCTTTACGTAGTTAGACAATACATAATTTCTGTAAGCAAGCCTCATTGCTCTAAAAATGTCATGTTAACCTTTACAAGGACTTTGTTACCCTTAACTTTCTATTCATTATTCTTTGAAATTTATCAACTGTAACTAGGTCCAAATATTCCCAATGCTCTTAGGATCTGTTTAAACATTCTATACCTTGCTATTCCTCATGGATCTAAATTCCTAATTGTAATCTCAAATACAAATTATGTTTTCAATTAACTTCATACATCACTAACTTCTAAAAATTAAAATTTCTCAAGCTCTTACAAAGCTTTTAACTATAACCCTAGCAGTCTCCATGGCTCCTACATCATGGTTCAGTTATTTCAAAGGCTAATGTCTGTGATTAAAGTAAAATAGGTGCCAGATTATGATC